AGTGTAGAGTTTATCCTCCCATTTTGGAGAGCAGACCCATGTGGGTGTCGAGGAATTGGTTTACCTTCTCGTACTGGAGAGCATGGTTGGTCCCTCGGGCGGTGTAATTCCTGCAATGAGTCCCTAAGAAAGGTGCGATTTTCTTTTAAAGTGCAGGTGAGATTAGTTGTTGTAAGCATGTAGCCAAGCCAAGTTGTAAATTACTTCTGAATTTCTCATTGAAAAACAAGTGAAACGAGCCAAACACTTAGCTGTAAAGTAGAGACTGCATAACAACTGGATAATCCTTGGCTCGCGAGGTGGTGTCTGCTGAGCTACTTGAGTTATTCAGACTTTGATGTAGCAGGAGGTCACACATGGTACTTCCTCAGATTGTATGCGTTCTTCTGCTTTTCGATCTCTTTGTCGTTCATAGTGGCGAGGATGTAATTACCCTTACCGCCTACTTTACTAATTTTGTACTGACCTTCCCAGATGAGAGCCATCTTTTTGGAGCCTTCTTTGCGGGCAGTGATGAAGGCTTTTCTTAGGACTAGATCTCTGAGTTGGAACTGCCGGATCTTGGCCCTTTTGTTGTAACTGGAGAAAAGCTGCTGCTGGTAGACTGCGATGCAGGTGATGGTCTGCTCGCGTTTCTCCTCTACTAGATCTAAGCTAGTAGCCTGTGTTAAGAGCCTTCTGAGCTAAGGATCGGCCTTCGGAGTGATTTCCACAAACGCCTTCATGGATTGAGCTTAGAACATTCAGGGTATCAAGAGGCGCTAGGCAGCAGAGATATGGTCCGGTGTAGGATTTTCGGAGCTTTCTAGACTGCAATCTTTCCGTGGGAAGTGTGCCATTGACCAGGTAGCCTATAATAGAACTTTGCCAGTTAGGAGTTATACTAACTTCTAACACTTCGACTGTCGGCTTCACCTCTATGCTTGGCTTGTCTAAATACTCCATTGGAATAAAGCGTTTGAGTTGGTGATTGAGGGCGAAGCCTAGGTGATAGGAGCATATTTATGCGCCTTAGTTAGCTAGTTCTTATGCATTTTCGTTATGTTTTCTTCGTTAGAGTAGTCTTTTGAGCTACTTTCATGTGTTTTCAGGTTCACAGGGGCATAATACATAAAAGATGGCAAAATGGAGCATTTTAGAGCAAAAGTGAGCTTGGATTGAAAAGTACATGCTTGGAGCACAAGGAATGGACGAGTTTGAAGGTCAAGGGAGCTTAAGAAATGAAGAAATGAAAGTGAAGAACAAAGAATTCAGAATTAGAAACCAAAGTTTCTAAAGTTGGAAGTTTCTATTCTCGGAGGTTTCCATTTGTGAGAGTTTCTATTCTTGGCTTTGGGCTTCTAGATGACCCATCCTTACCTCTTGGACAAGGCCGCACCTTCCTAGCCCAAGTCATCTTGGATCTTCACTTAATGCCGCACCTAAACCCTAGCCCATTGCATATTTCTGACTTCTAAGCCTTTGCCGCACCTAGGCCCCAAAATATCTAATTTCCTTGCCTTGCAAGGCTTTCTAGAAGGCCTATCCACACTCCCACCAAATCTGCCGCACCCTAGCCCTTTTCCCATGCAAATTCCTATTGTGTTAACCTAATTTCTGGTGGATTTGGGTTTCTAGAAACCCTAATCTGATTGCTAGGGTTTTTAAGTGCCTATATATATTCATTCTAATCCTTTTAACCCTTCTACCCTCTACCACTCCCCATCTAATTCATTCACGCCAAAAACCCTAGTTACATCCTTGTCGCAGCCTTTCACCCTAAAACTTCCATATTTCTGATTTCTACACCATTGTCGTGCCTCCCTAATCCTTTTAACCCTTCTACCCTCTACCACTCCCCATCTAATTCATTCACGCCAAAAACCCTAGTTACATCCTTGCCGCAGCCTTTCACCCTAAAACTTCCATATTTCTGATTTCTACACCATTGCCGTGCCTCCCTAATCCTTTTAACCCTTCTACCCTCTACCACTCCCCATCTAATTCATTCACCACAGCCGTGCCTTCCCACCACCATCACCACCTTGCGCAGCCACCAAAGGAGGAGAAAGAAGGAATGCCGTGCAGTCCAAAGGAGGAAGACACCTTGCACATGCAATCTGCCATTAGTGGAGTGTTTGGAGTTCTTTCTTTCTTTGTTTCTGTTTTCATGTTTAATTTAAATTGTTGTTCAATTATGTTAGACATGTGGAACTAATTTCTTTATAGTTAGAGGTGAATTTGAAGCCATGGACATATGTTTTATATGATTTGATTTCTTCCAATTATGATTTCAGAAATTGTGAATGTGATTTACTTATCTATTTGATTGATAACTTGTTTATTTATGTGGGTTGAGGGTCGACACTTAATTTGCATGCCTAAACTTGATGCTAGGATATAAGGGAATTTCACCTAATCGTTATTAACTTGTATTCATAAGTAGTGAAAGTCGCTAGTCACGATTGTGTTAAGTAAATCCTAGGCAAGAGTAACATGCGTATCCCATAGTTATGAATGCCTCGTCAATGCTTATGATTTCCATTAAACTTAATGATCTTTGATATGTGTCTCTATCATGCGTATTCCATAGTTAGGGTCCTTGATAAGAATAATTTGGTTGTAATGCGTATTCCATTCAATTCAATGAATCTAGGGAAATCTGAGAGTTAATTGGTGCAATCTAGTTAATTTGGGGCATTGTCATTCATGGTTTGTTAAAAGAATAATTGGAGATCGAGTTGTATGCATATGTTCATGTGTGGATAAGGAACCCTCTAACTAGCTTCTCACCATTCTATTTAATCACAATCTGTGTTGCTTTACATTTGTTTTTAAAGTCTGAGTTTTAAAGTTTTAATTTCGTCAAAATCATTCCCCCATTTATTTTAAAGTGTTAGATTAGTTAGAAATCCATTTAGTTGTGTTTTTAAGTGTTTTGAGTCAAGTCATAGTCCAAATTCGTCCAAACCAGTGTTAGGTACTCAAAACTGCCCAGAAAGTGGTTTTAAGGCAGTTTTGACCCTTTTAGTTGCAGTTTTGAGTTTTTAGTTTGTTTAGGTGTTTTAAACCCTAGTTTTGCATTAATTGAGTCTAGTTTAGTGTTCTACATTATATTTTTATGTTCTTGAGTCAGATTTACATTGATTAGCATCCCTAGTTAATCCCCGGTTAGAACGATCCCTATTTGCTCATATACTACAATTGTCATCCATAGGGTTTAATTTGTGTGTCAAGTTAATTTTCACATCACTAGGCCGGCTAGAACGTATGCGTAAGCGTTGTTGGCTCGCAGAACTTAAGTGAGAGTGTAAGTCTGAAATGCCTCAAGTTGCTTGCATACCTTCTCTAGGTATTGCGCCATCCTCGTATGCTTTTCTGTGTATTCCCCAGTAGTTTGGCTTATGATTAGCTGGGAATCAGAATGAATTGTGAGCTTTTTCACCGCCAAGTATTTTGCCATTTGGAGGCCTGCTAGTAGGGTCTTGTACTCTGCTTCATTGTTGGATGCTTTGAAGCCTAAAGTGATCGCCTGCTCGAGCATTGAATTGTCTGGGGTGACAAGGATCATACCTGCTCCCAAGCCTTTGAAATTGGATGCGTCGTCGACATGCAAATGCCAAAAGTCTTTGATGGCGAGAGCAGGCACGGCTAAGGTGTGCTCGGTTGCTTCTAAGGCATCGTTGGGCTGCTCTGTTGTGTCGCCTAGGTTAGGTGTGAATTCTGCTATGAAGGCCGCCAAGGCTTGGGCCTTTATCACCGTGCAGGGTCAGAAAACTAAACCGTATTGGCCAAGTTCCAACGCCTATTTCATCACTCGTTGAGAAGCATCTGGACTATGTAGGATTGATCGTAGTGGATATTGAGTCTTGATGATAATTTTATGAGCTTGAAAGTATGGTCTGAGCTTCCGAGCCGCAACAATTAGCGCCAAAATTAATTTTTTGATCTTCGAGTATCTAGTTTCCGCATCGAGAAGAGCTTTAGAATGATAGAATACCGGCAGTTGGGCCCCCAGCTCTTCTTGTATGAGGGCGAGCTCACTGCTACTTCTGAGACTACCAAGTAAATGTATAAGTCTTCCGCTGCCGATGTGATCTAACCGCTGCTTGCCTTTTACCATGATGTTGTTGACATAGACCTCCATGGTTACCCCAATTTTCTTCTTGAACATCATGTTTACTAACCTTTGGTAAGTGGCTCCCGTGTTCTTGAGGCCAAAGGGCATGACCTTGTAGTAGTAGGTGCCTCGCTCGATCACGAACGCAGTTTTCTCCTTGTCAGGCTTGTACATGGCTCTTTGGTTGTAGCTAGAGTATGCGTCCAAGAAGCTGAGCAGCTAGTTCCCATAAGTTAAATATACCAATAGATCGATTTGGGGAAGCGGATAAGGATCTTTTGGGTTGGCTTTGTTGAGGTCGATGTAGTCTACGCAAACCTTCTATTTGCCCTTTTCTTTCTTCACGACTAGCATGACGTTGGCAAGCCATGCTGAGTGTGCTACCTTTTCTATGAATCCGACCTCCAGTAGCTTGTCAAATTTCGCTTCGATGATCGCTACTCGCTTGGGTGCGAAATGTCTTCCCTTTTGGATCACTGGTTTGGTAGAGGGGTCGACATGCAACTTGTGGCAAGCTATCTTGGGGTCGATGTTGGGCATGTTGGAAGGTGACCATGCAAAGATGTAATGATTTTCCCTAAGGAAAGCCGTAAGCTCTTCCTTCTCGGCTAGGCTTAGACGTGAGCCAATTCTAGCCATCTTTTTCGACTGTTGGGGATCAAGAATGATGTCATCGGCGTTCTCTTCGGGTTTCCATCCTATCTTATCTGCTTAGGCACCAGTTTCTTGATTCGCTTGCTGTAATTGCTATTTGGTAGTTTCTTTGTCCCTTTGGACCTCGGTAGTCTCTACGGGGGTAAAGGTCTTCTTTTTCGATTCCTTCAATACTTGCACAGTGCATCGTTGAGATACGGCCTGGTTAGATTTGATTTCTCCGACTCATCTGACTGCTCTTGTGGAATCATATTTTTTGGTACTTGACAGAAGTGACGGCATCCAGCTTGATCAACCAAGGTCTTCCAAGAATCTCATTGTAGGGAGATGGGTTGCTTACGATTATGAACATCTGCTTTGAGACAACTTGTGGTGTTTTCACGTCAAGTGTGATGTGGCCGATAGCAGTTGAGGTGTGCTCGTTGAATCCGGTGAGTACCTCTGCTCGGCGTATGATTATGTTTTCCAGGCTCATCTTCTGAATGATTGAGAGTTGAAGTAGGTTGACTGCACTTCCATTGTCAACCATCATTCTGTTGATTATAGCATTGGCTAGTTGGACAGATACTACTAGTGCGTCGTCGTGTGGAAAATTGATGCCTTCTCCATCCAGCTCGGTGAAGCCAATGATGGGTCCGGGCTGAGTGTTGACTGCTTGGATCTGTGAGACTAACAGTGCTTGCTGGATCTTCCTTTTTTGGAGCTGTTGGTGGCCCCTAAGTGCTCGGATTCAGCAAAAATGCCATTGATCTGAATTATCTTGGTTGGTGGCTCTTCGTTGTCGTCTGCGTTCTTTCTAGGCTACGCAGCTAGCTTGTCCAAGTATCTTTCGACCTTGCCTTCTTTCACAAGCTTCTCTAGGTAGTTCTTCCAAGTGTAACAGTCGTCGGTTGTGTGACCAGGGCCTTGGTGGAATGCGTAGTATTTGGTGTGATCCATCTTGGAAATATCTCCATTTGATTGTTTCGGCAGCTTGAACCATGGCTCATTCTTGATGTCTCGAAGGATTTGATGGATAGGGATTAAGAACTTAGAGTAGTTCTTGGCCGTCAGGCCTTCTTTTGTCGTGGGTCGGTCTCTACGCTTGGCCTGCTGCATGCTTTCCGTCCTCTTTCTTTTGAGCTACTACCGACTCTTTTTTAGGCTGCTCAAGCATCTTGTCTGCTCATCGAGCCTCATCCCAAAGTGAATGTTTTTCTACCAAAGTTTGATCTTCTTTCATGATCAACTCTCCGAACAATGGGTAGTCTACTGGGAGTTCTTTTTGGAAGGCTACACTTGCTATCGAGTCGTTACATCCGACTATCTTCTCATTTTCTACTTTGAATGTCTTCACGTTGAACCAATGGTCGAACTTTTTCTTGATTGAGCAATAAGATGAGTATTCTTTGGTGAAAACCAAGGAAAGATCATCAAAACTCTGAATGGATCGTGGCGGCAAGGTGTGGAACCAATCTTGTGCCACGCCTTGCAACATGGTGATGAATATCTTGCACATAAGAGCATCGTTGTTCCGGTAAAGAACCATTGTGCTTCGGTAATGCTTCAATTGCCTCTCCGGATCTATATCTCATTTGAAAGATGTGAAATGTGGCATGCTAAACTCGCGTGGAGGTTCTGCCTGCTCGATCTCGTCCATGAAGGATAACCTGCTCATGTTGGTCATGCCCCATCGTAGCGCTTCATTGGCCACTTCGTTGCGTTGGAAATCACATAATCGCTCGTTTAAGAGCCTTTCTACCTCTTCCTGAATTTGCTTTTGTTGGGGTAGCGGAGCTCTCGGCTACCCCCAGTCTTGACCTGTTGGTCTAGGCTGGTTTTCTACATACTCGACTCGTCTGTGTTATGGTAGCGGTGCATGTGGTCAGTTCCTGGCAGGCGAGGGGATTATTCGCAGGCTGCCGGTTGAACTTAAGCCGAATTGAGTGACTACTTCTCTCCGTCCGTCGTGTTGCCTACTCTAATGTGATATGAAGGATGCTCCTTGCAGGCCTAGCCGCGAATGAACGCTTTTCCTGAAAGGCTGCCCATGTTGATTATCGGAGTGTGGCCCTAACCGTGAGTGTATGCTTTTCTACAGGCCTAGTCGAGAGTGGATGCTTCTCTGCGCGCTAAGATGGGAGTATACACTATCTTGGAGGCCCAATCGGGAATGTACATTGCCCAAATGCTCGATTAGTGGCTGGTTGAGTGGCTGCTTGCCGAGACGCTGCTGGAGAGGTTTCTCGTCTGTCCTTGTCCTACTTCGGGACACCTCATCTGGGGCACGTTGGATCTCAGTGTATTGTAAGAGTTGATTCACCAAGGTTGTCTATTGTGCAAAGGCGCTCGTCAACTCTATGACTTGTCGAGACAAGTGTTGTTCGCCATTTGGATTGGAAGAGCTTGGAAGGAATGCGCCTCCTTGAGCAGTGGAAGGGTGGTAAACTTCGAGAGTGAGATTTGAGTTGGGAAATGTCAAATCCGCGGAGAAATGTGGTGAAAATGCCTTTGGTTCGATCATAGGTCCTGAAATTTAAAGTCGGGATGATTGAGCTAATCTTGGACCAACTTGGGCTGTTTGGGAAACCACGGGAGCAGGCTGGGCCACGGGAGTAGGCTGCTCGACATGTGGTGCACGCGGATGGAAGGCTTGGGCTTGGCTGGCAACGCGTTGGGCTTGCGTTGGGTTTGGATGGCACGGGCCAGCTCGGCTAGAGTTGGGCCCTTGAAGGTTGAAGTGGCACGGCTTGGGCCGTGGCCTTCGCGTTGTGGGTAGCCACCATGGTGGTTGCCATGGTGGTGACCCGTGAGGGTGGTGCCGGTCCACTCATCGTTGTGTTGAGCCTTGTAGATCGCCGCGGTCCTAATCCTTGAACGTTGGAATTTCCGTTCGTCGAGGTTTCCGAATCTCTTGCCATTGTACTTTTCTTTTAAATTTTATCAAAGAATTTTTCGAAATAAAAATTCCTAAAATAAGAACGTACGAAAAATCTACAAATAAGCAAGGAAACAAAAAAAACCTTAGATGCAAGAGTCTTTTACAAGTGTGTGACTCAACTCTCAATAAAAGCACCAATTTGTGGATGCAAATTTCTTCCTCCTTGTTCTTGGACAAAATTGCACCTACAAAACAAAAAACACCTTAGGTGAAGGCCAAGAGCCTCACGCTCCCACGATGAATGGGGGTGGGGGGGTGCTTTTGGCCGAAGAACCTCCGATGCCAAAGTTAGAATTTTGAGGGAAAAGTGTTTGGAGAATTTAGAGAATTTAGCAAGAGTGTAGAACTTAGGTTTTGGGGAAAATGAGGGTGTTTATATAGGGGTGCGGCCAGCCCCTCTGGGAGGAAAAGGACCGGCCACTGGGATGGTTTGTTGGGTGACATGCACGATTTGTTAGCTAATTAATAAATTAATTGAGTAATAAATCAATTTATTAGCTAATTAATATAATTAAAAAGGAATGATTTGGGGGTTACCTTGTGAAGAAGATTTGATGAGGATGGATGAAATAGGTTTTGAATAAATACCTATTTTGGGCACTTTTGACTTGATTGAGGGATGATTGTCCACTGCTTGCGCGTAGAAATCCCGGTGTGCCTCGAGGGTAATCTTGTATTTTTACCCAAAAATACATGTGTCGCCTCCATATTTTCTTGATTATTTTTTGGTTCCACAAGAATAACCTGCTTTAATACCATGACAAACTTTGTAGGCCCATGCAGGTCACCACTAACATCACTGATATTGTCACAACTTAAATACCTATTGCTAGTTGTTGGGTTTTATTACAAAAGGCCTTAGTGATATTAAGGGCAGGAACTTCCACATATTAACTTTATATTATTTTGTCATATGACCGATGTGTGATCTTATTCTCCAATAGTACAAAATTTCAAAAACAAAAAGTAATGGTTTAGACAAGAGTGGTGTTAGTAGCAATGGGGGCCGAAGTAGTGGTAGTAGTGGTGAGACTAAAGGTGTTAGTGTTGGAAATGTGCCCTAAAGCCAATCATATGATGATATTTTACAAACATTTCAAATGTTAAACTAATCTAGTTAATATAAAGGGCAAATATTATTGTTTAAGCCGTCTCATATAAATGTTATATGCATAAACGATAAGTCCAAGGAATATGTAATTGGGAGAATGTGATCTAAAGAAGTTAGATTCATGAGACCATTCTCTTTCGTATACATATCCTAAACGTTCCTGATCATAGGATTTCCAATTAGGCATTGACAGTCTGTTAAGATCAGTCCGTGTTATATCTTCTCTTAGGGAGAGTGACTGGTCTCGAGTCATTAGTGTAACCGACACCAAGACAAGCATGTAGGTGCTCAATAGAGAATGAGTCCACTGAACACGATCAACGAGGAGTTCTCATACTCATGTCACATGAGAACCCATGGTTGGGATAATGCAAAGTAGTCATTTGACCCGAGACATCATAGTTGTCTTGTGATTAGGTCCTTAATCTTTGACTATGTCAAAGTCACTCCGTCAAAGGGTGTCCACGACATAGTTGGGGTTAAGCCACTTAGCCATGGAGGCAAGTGAATGCACAACAAGGGATCTCTAACCTTCAAACCATTTGAGGGAGAATACTGTATGATATGATTAAGAATCTTTGGCCAGAGTATGAATGAGATTTAGGAAGTCGTTCCAAATCACATTCAAGGTAATCATATAAGTAAGTGAATCACATTGGATAGTAGACATGAATAAACTATCAAACCAAACAATGTGGTCAAGAGTATTGTATTAGAGAAAGACCGTATTGCATTGTAATCCCAAACTGAATAGGTTCTCCACCTCTTCTGAATAGCTTGGATAGCCATGACATACTGCTAGGTGTCACTCATGGTTTGTGGAAGCCCTGAAAATTAGCAAACACTGATCTTCATCAAAGGGAGAATTGAAATGTTGTTTCAATTCACAATTGATCGTTAAGAGTAACAATCACCCACTGCCTTGCTAAAAGGAACCTAATGGATCGTACACCATGAAAGGTAGAGATTGAAGAAATAATGGAGACAAGTAAAGATAATTAAATGGTTTAATTATTTATCACTATGATTAATTAATAAGTTAATTAATCAAACGAATAACTTCATTATAGACCTCGGGTTAGTTTTGGGCCTCAAGGCCCAATGGGATTTGAATGTCAAGTCCAATAACTTAAGTTGTATGACAACTTGAAAAACACAAAGGGCTTCAAAACCCTTTTAACCTACAATGGTCGGCCATATAGAGAGGGGTAATGAACTAGCCTTAATTGCAAGTTTGCCACTCCATTGTGAGGTGGTATAAAGACAACTTTATAGCCATTTCATCCTTAGGGTTTTCTTAGGAGAAAAGATGAGAACACAAAGCTCTCTTGACTCTCTAGGAGGCCAGCCACCTTGGAGGAAATTACTAGCATCTATTTCCTCCAAGGTCACTCATCTCTTCATCAATGTTCTCCTTGGTGTGGAGACTTAGAGGTTCTTTATTTTGGGAACTTGGAGAATCCATTCTACCACCCTCATCCAAGAAATCCATGGAGCTAAGAAGTAAGGAATGAAGACTCTATCTCTTGGGTGATTAGCCTTTGCTTATGCAAAGAGGAATCAACAAAGGTATAATATTTCTCAACTCACTTTGTTCTTGAGTTGAGTCTTGGTTCACCACACTCACTAGGCCTTGGATTTCGTGGGTAAAGTTTTGTTTTTGAGTGCATACAAGCATGATTCCGCCTTTTAATTGTTAATTGCATGCATAGATGTTACTCAAATGAACTAGTTTTCACAAATATTTATTACCAGTTGTTGGGTTTTATTACAAAAGGCCTTAGTGATATCAAGGGCAGGAACTTCCATATATTAACTTTATATTATTTTGTCATATGACCGATGTGTGATCTTATTCTCCAATATTACAAAATTTCAAAAACAAAAAGTAATGGTTTAGACGAGAGTGGTGTTAGTAGCAATGGGGGCCGAAGTAGTGGTAGTAGTGGTGAGACTAAAGGTGTTAGTAGTGGTGAAATATAGGTGGTGGCAATAGTAGGATAAATGGCAATGGTGGAGGAGTGGTGGCGGTGGAGTTGACTGCAATGGTGGTAGAGGACGGTTCTA